AGCCTCCACTTCCCAGGCTCCTGTCCTTCAGCAAACCTTTGCTTCTCGCTTCCTCCCACTGGGCGTTGGGCCATAGACTCCGTGTTGTCCCCCTACCCCTCATGGACCCAGCACCCTGCTTCCCACACCTCAGGGACAAGCTTTTCTTCACTAGGTTTTTAAGGATGGCAAGACATTTTCTCTCTGCATTCTGTGTCTTCTAGTGCATTTAATACTTGTTTGTTATTAATCATAATAAACTGTTACATAAAAACTTTACTTTTAAATTGTTAAAAATTCATATTAACTCCTTTTATCTTTACAAAACACTCTACGGATCCTTGAGGAAACCACCTTTGGCTTAATGCAGGTTCCCCCAAGTATTTGCTTTTTTGGGGCGGGTACCAGGAATCGAACTCAGGACCTTGGCGCTTGCCAAGCAGGCCCTTATGCCACTGGGGCTACATCCCGGGCCCAAATTTTTGCTTAATTTATTTATGCTAAACTGTCACATACAAATGTTATTGAACAACAAAAAGAACAGAATAGAACACAGAAAAATTGGCGAAAGGATTTTATTATGGGGCTTAGGGGCGTTTTTGCATCCTACTAACAGAAAAAGCATTTTTCACACCTTCTTCAACCTAACGAAGCATATACTTCTGGCTTCATCTGCATGGCTGTGACATTACACTGTGAAGAACACTTTCTTTTCCTATGTTCTTTGGTGCAATTATACAGTAGACACCTCTTACTCCAGGAAATAAAAATATTCCCAACCTAAACTCAAAAAACAACAAAGACATTAATACCAAGTTCCTACACCACTTAGTAAAAGATTGCAATAAAAATCAAAACAGTATGCTGCTTAACATACAAAGAAGGGACATCATGGTTTCAGTCAAACCTCTGTAGGAATGCTTTAGCATCTGGGTTTATTTTTACTGCGGTTTTCACATATGACAGGTGGAACTGTACCACAATGAACAGTCTCATTTGCACAGGAAATTCCAATATTGGACTCTAGCACGGGAAATGTCTCTCGGGCTTTAGTAATATACAAACAGATAGAAAAAAACTTGCTTTAAGAAAAATTTCACAATTGTTTGACTAAACATCTGAAACATTTTTATCACAGCTTTCATATATTAAAAAAATTTCCTCCAGAGATGAAGCTCCTTTACGAAATAAAACCTAGTCGCTATCATCTGACCCACGATCTGAGCCTCGATCTGAGCCCTCGTTGTTGGATCCCTCTGGTTCCGACTCATTTCCAGAGCCTTGGCCAGAACCTTCGTTGTCAGACGCTCGCTCCGATTCGCGATCGGACTCTGCGCTTGGGGAGGCCGGCCGAGAGTCGTTCTCCGAGGCTCCCGAGGGGCTTCTCCCCGACTGCGCGGACTCATTGTCGGACTGCTCGGAGCCCGAGGGCCTCCTCTTCCGGGTCGGCTGGTCGCTGTCGGAGTCCTCCTCCTCCTCCTCCTCCTCCTCATCGGACCGCGGTCTGCGGGTCCTCGGGGGACTGCCGGCCTCGCTGCCAGACTTGTTCTGGTTGTCATCGGAGTCGCTCTCCGAGGAGGAGGCGCGTCTCCTGGGCCGCTGCTCCTCCTCCTCGGAGTCGCTGTTGCCGTTGCCGCGCCTGGCGTGTCTGCAGGAGATCAGAGGTTAGACTCTCACTGCCGAAGGCAGCTCTAAACAACAAGGGGGCTCACTGCTCCACGGCCTGGCCTGGGCTGTGATTACACAGGTGCTGGGGGTGTGACAGCTGTGCTGTGTGCTACTCTACCCAAGTTTTTCACCATTAAATAAAAGATTAGAAAAGAATAAGGTACTTCAGCTACAAGTCAAAATACACACAAGGAGGACTTACAACTTGGGTCCTGTCGGCACTTTGCATCGGGATGAAGCATTTCTCAACTTCATACACAAAATTGTGGAAAGGGAGGGATATATTTGCTTACCTTTACAGATAAGGAGCCACCAAGGTAAAACCCAGAATCTCAAACGGCTTTCCGGACTGTGAAATCCCACAGCTGACAGGGGACACTTCCCTGTGCTGTGGCCAGCTCTACTCTCAGGCACTTGACAGGGGTGACGTCACTGTTTCTGTCTTGGGATTTGCTACTATGCTCGGCCCCCTCCACATGATGAGACTTGCTCAAGACAGGGAAGCGGGCTAAAGGGTCGTCCGCTTGTTCTTTCTGCCCCTGACTCTGCCCTCGTACTGAATACTGAAAGGAGTGGGAAGAGTGCTTCCGTGGGGCTGAGGGAGTTGTGGCTTCCTGGAAGCTCTGGGGGCCAGAAGATGCCCTTAAACCCCAGGGTAGCTGCTCCGGGCACACGTACTGCTCTGGCATCTTTCCTGAGTTTTGGTGGGATAACTCAGGAAAAGAATCCCCAGTCTGTGCCAGCGAGTCTCTTCAGAGCAAAAGGGAGCTGCAAATCTTTGTGATGGTTTTCTACAGATCTCCACCTTACGGGGCCAGTCCTGCAGCCATTGACCTCAGCCCCTTCTCTCACCTCTCACCAACCAGGGATCCCTTTTCTTTCTCTAAGACTCAACGCAATCAGCTTCTCTCACAAACACCATCCTGTTAACTTCTACCATCAACAACTGCAGACAAGGTCCCTAGAGCAATAAATGCAAAACTTCAGTGCTATCACTTCTCTCACCACAGTGTGGTTTTGGTTTGCTAGTCTCCACTGCCTCTAAAAAACAAAACAAACAAAACCCTCCTGGAGAATGTATGTGCCTATGTCTTTTTCTTCCTACTCACGGCACTATACACCTATTTCATGAATGGGCCTCCAAATGCAATGACGGCCACAGAGGAACATGGCGTACTACAGTACTCAGAGTTCTGGTCTAGGAATTCAAATGGGGCGCAGTGAGCTTGAGAGGCAAGGTTAGGCTGCGCGCTGAGGGAGAGTCAGGCGTGCGCTGAGGCAGTACAGGGTGAATCTTCTAACGAGCGGGCAGAAGGCAGTCACCACGGGCCAGCAAGGGAAGAAACAGCCACGGAATTGCCTGTCTACAAAGCCAGGGTCAGGCCACTCACAATACAGATAGTCAACACTCGGGCAGCAAGTGACACTTTTCACTTAGGAAGCTGTCACTTAGGAAATTTCAACTAAGATGCTTGAAGAAATGGGATTTGAAATACGTTTTTTGAGGGAAAACTACGTAGTTGGACAAAATGACGGGGTTGGAACAAGGTAACTGCTCAGGTTTCTCCCAGCTATGTAATTCAATTCCAAGAAGCTGGCGGGAAAGTATTAGGGCACAGTGACCACTCCTCATTACTTTCAAGTGTCTGTTTCCCTTCCTATGAAAACGAAGAGAAAGTATATTCTCCCTAGAGCAGACAGGCTGATCAGCAATCACTTTGGGTTTACCCACATCATTAGGAGAATTTAGCAAGGGAAAAATTCTTACCCTTCATCAGCAATTTTCAGTTTATCCTCATCTGAAGAATCATCACTTGATGATATTATGGCTTTGGATTTTATTTTTCCCTTCATTGAAGGAGGCAGTCGTTCTGGCTTGGGCTAAAGAGAGAACATCAGACTTAATGGGTCAGGGCTGGGGATGTGGCTCAGTGGTACCAGGCTTGCTCAGCGTGCGCAAGGCCCTGAGTTCAATCCCCAGTAGCACAAAAAAACAAAACCCAAAAAAACCCATAAATCAAAATTTAAAAGATCAGTCAAGACTCTTAGATGAATTAGGACATCTTATAAACTGGGTGTGCATTATAGATGTAATCACACAGCCCCTCATAAACTATGAAATCAAGCTGCAGGGAAAATATGGATTCCAAAAAAACTATTATAAACTTACAGCCTTCTTCTTCTCTGTTTTTGGTAGACGGCGCTTCTTCGGCTTGGGGCCATTTTCTGCTTCATCATCATCAGATCCTTCTTCTCCCTTCGGAGGTCTTAAACAATAAATGCCAAGAGTCTGTCAAGAGCCACTCATACCTATAAAGTCTGAGACTACTTTGCCATCAATACTTTTCCCCTTCTGTACGGTGCTGACCTGAGCCACAGTGGACAATCCTGTGACATGTGTCTCAGGGTTTATAAAGGCCACGGACTGAGGCAAGGTCTGTGACTCAAGTCATTACAGAGCCCCCTCATCCACCTATGTCTGGATTTTGCATTGGTGGAGTGGGAGTTGAGAAAAGATCCATGCTCCAGAACCCACCTCTTTCCCCTCTTCTTCCTGCTACTAATTCTAGCCTGCTGCTACTGTCTGCATCGCAGCTCCAATTATACCTGTTTGTGTCTGAATAAATCCACCAGGTTCTTTCCCACATATAGTTGGCCAAGGGTTGGGAAGGGCAGGTCTGGGTAAGACAGATGAATGGAAATTTCTGGACAGGAAAGCACCAAGAGGGAGGGGACAGGACAACTTGTAGGGCACCTCCACACGAGGGAGGGGCCAGGCGCCCTCCATCTTACAGATGACACCAGGTGGTTTTAAGGGCACTTTCACCCACATTCACATTTCATGACCGGCAAAACCACGAGGCGGGCATCACCACTGCCATTTCTACTAGAGGAGGCAGGCTCAGGGACTTTGCCAGGTCTGCACACGCACAGTGAGCGTGGGCATCATCCAGGTCTCCTTCTAAAAGTCACACACATTTTCCAAAAAATATTACAATTTTAGACACAAGCAAGGCAGAGGTGATGAACGTGTGGCTCTTAGAAGGAGAGCTGTGGAGGTGTGGGGATTTTTGTGATGGGGTTTATCTCAGGATTACAGTGAGGCGTGGGGGCACAAAAGGCCTCACTGGGAAGATCACGGGGATCCTGAGTCGCCATGAAGTCTACACACAGATGCAGAAGGTGAAAGGTCTTCTGAGTGTTTCATAAGGTCACCACAACAATCACATGGTATTACCTTCTCCTCTTCTTCTTCCTTCTCTCGCCACCCTCCTCATCTTCCCCTTCTGGTTCACTGCCACTGCCCTTTCTCCTCTTCTTCTTCTTAGATATTGGTAGGTCGTCATCAGTGTCATCGTTGACAAATTCATCAAATTCACCTTTCTTGGAGCGCTAAAATGCAAACAAGATCGCAGTGAGCTATTCCCAGGCTGGTGTAGCACAGTGGGCCACTAAGGGGCGGAAGGGGCCATACAGTATTCCACCCGTCATTTACAAGCGAAGGATGTCTCAGCAAGTCACTCGAAAGGGCTTGGTAGGCCCATATTTCAGAGATTTCTAAAGGGAAGAATGTCTCAACGAGTTAAAAATTGGCTATGTAAAATCATCAACTACTTAAGAGGTCACTACGATGTAAAGGGCACTTAGCTAACCTTGGAATGCAATTTCAAACTCATTCAATTTAGGGTGAGGTTATGTCCTGATAAGGCACACTGCACCGTTAAAAATGAATTTAAGTACACTCAAACTACCAAACATTGAACAGCACCACAGACCACTGCAGAGTATCATGTGTTCACCCTCCTTATCATGTGGCTGGACTGGGAGCTCTAGTTCTTGGTTGCCGCCCATCATATAAAAGAACATCATGCTTATAACCCAACCCAGGAAAAGATAAAAATCAGAGTACGGTTGCTGAATGTGTATCATTTTTGCACTATTGTGAAGTCAAAAAATTGTAAGCTGAACCATCGTTACGTGAGGGGCTCACTGGATTGATACAAGTCAGTGGTACAGCACTTGCCTAGCGTGTGTGAGGCCCTGGGTGTGAGTCCCACCACACACAGTCAGAGACGACCTGTCATCCGCACTGGATACCGTTACATGATTCCATATTGGAATTAGTAAAGGAGGAAGTCAGAGTAAAGAACGAGTCAGGGGGCTGGGGATTTAGCTCAGCGGCAAAAGCGCCTGCCTGGCAAGCGCAAGGTCGTGAGTTCGGTTCCCGGTACCGGAGAAAAACCAAAAAAAAAAAAAAAAAAAAAAGAACGAGTCAATCTAACCAACTATCTTCACTTCTGAAGCCACAAGACATAGGCCAGTGTCATCAGTGATCGCAGTAATCGTATCTTACCCGCCCACCTCCACCTCTTTTCTTCTCTTTCGTCGCCTCAGTCTCCCCAGTAAACATAAGAATGTTTTTGGTCTTTTCCACATACTGGGCTCGCTGTTCCAACAGTTTCTTTTGCTCTTCCTTTTCTCTGAGGCGTTTCTCTTCCTACGAAGAAAAAAAGCAGGAAAAGAAATGTGCTTACGATGAAAACACTGGTGGCTATATTCCTAAGCAGAGGACTTTTTTCCTCTCATACACACAGTATATGCAGACACAGAATTCCTGAATTGGAATACAACTGGATACAGCAGGTACCTGTTCTTTCAGAAGTTTCTGCCTTAATAGCTCCTTTTCTTGCTCTTGTTTGGCCCGCAACTCGCGCTCTTCTTCGTCCTGCTTGCGCGCCCGGGCCACGTGGTACTGGGCCTGGCTCAGTAAGTCGGAGCACTGCCTAGAACGTTTCAGATTTAGAGAAACATGAACACATGTAGGTAGTTTGTTCCAAATCTCAGAGGATCTGTTTTCCTTACACATGTTTAAAAATTCTGAAGCAAGATGACTAGATGATATCTATGTGAAGTCTTCATTAGCAAAATTAACTGAGTTTATCACAAGCCAATACTACTGACTATGCTGTTTCTACACTGTACATGTCCTCTCAAAGCACAGCTACAAAGATTTCCAACATTATCTTCACATAGGACTCAAGGACTGGGCGAGCACGCCTTGATTCCGATGACAAAGCTGACATCAGTGAAAGAGCAAAGTATTTTATTTGTACCAAATCGATTTTGCTGAATTCCCTGAAAGGATAAAGCCTTAGTATAGCGAGTCCCTGAAAAGAGTGTGTGAAACACCCACCCCTAGAGGGCCGGGAGCCCCTGCTCACTGCTGCAACACTCCCAGGCCACTCCAGTACCACCACCTCCCCTAAAGTCACCCTCCAGGAAGAGTACCATTCACTACCTGGCTTCCGTAGCAGCAAGGGCCAAGTCAAATCTCATTTTATCTCCCACTTTACTCAAGTAACTGAAGGATCTGAAGGGAATGAAAAAATAAAATATTTAATAAAAAATTCTAATGACACAAAGCCCTTCAGATTTTTAATTGGTTCTGTAAGAATAGTTTTTAAAAAAGAATAGTTTGAGAAAAGTTCACATATTTACCGACTTATTTGAATATATTTAATGCATAAAGGACTATATCTCAATAGGGAAATCATATATGCAACTCATGTCAGAAAAGACTCACCAGTAAACCACTCAGTATGTTTAATAAAACATGCGTTTATCAAGAAAGGCAAATACAGATTTAATATTATCAGTAAATTCATAAAAAAATTGAGCACTGACATTTAATTTTACTAAGTATGTCATCCATGGAGGTTGAGGGGCTTAGTCCATGAAAACATAATTTACCATACAAGGCAAGAAATGTTAACGAGAATGTAAATATGGCTGGACAAACCGGAAGAAATGTAGGCTTTAATTTCATGACACACTGAATCACCAAACACAAACTATAGGGGTTAAATAAACTTTGAACTTAGCTGAGGGAATCTATTAAGTAATATTTAAGAGGTTAAGATCTTAATCCCAGCTCAATGAAAATCAATACATCCCGTATGAAGACATACTGGTATAAAATGTAAAACCAACATAAATGAGTCTAAAAAATTTTACATGTGTAAAACTGCTAGATCCTGCTGTCATGAGATTAATGAAAAGCTGAGGCAAGCTAGCCAGCAAGTTCTACCCGTCAGGCTGCATAATTCAAATCTGGAGGGATCCTGGTATGGCACCACCTGGTGGCAACTGTCTTCTTTGGCTTCTGGGCTAGAATTCTATTGTGCTAGAATGATGCTAATGATTTTTTTTGCTTTTGTTTTTTTTAAATTGTGGTACCCGGGGATTGAACCCAAGGCCTCACACAGGCTATGCAAGCGCCACGGAGGCACACCTCCAGCTTCTAATAGTTACTTTTGGGGATAGTGCTCTTCAGCACCTTTTAAGACAAGTTTTAAAGAAACAAATCACTTCAGAGGTTGTTTCTACAAAATCTTTACCTGTGTGCAAGCTCCAGTTCTTTCACAGCATTAAGGACTTCCTTCAGATTACTTTTTTCATCTTTTAGGACAGAGGTAGCTAATCTTTGCAAGACCAAGGCCACGTTAAACATAAGAACTGTATCATTGGGTGCCACATGTCTGGCCTGAAAGCAAAACACAAAGCATGTACTTCACATGATCTAATCATATGGAAAGGATTTTACTGAGTGCTAGCAGGCATGTAAACATCCACACAAAATAATTAAGAATACAAAGCAGGACAGGGCTGGAAGGAAAAACAGCAAGTTCTCCCTATTACCTTCAGCAAAGTCTGCTTGCATTCCTGTAATTTGCCACACTTGAAGAGGGCCCGGGCCAAATAGAGCACAACTTCAGTATTTTGGTGCTTATAGAACTTTCTGAGGCAGTTTTCATACTACAAAGAAAGAAAAAGTTAACTATAAATATAACAGCAATCACAAGATCTTTTCACTGTGTAGCAAAATTTTAAGCAACTTTACAGCTCTTGAAACCACAGTCCACTCTTTGAATGGCTGGTTTCAGAGAATTTGGGAAATGACATTCATCAGGACACATTTTCACCACACAAAAATTTGATCAAAGAAAAACCAGATACTTGAAATGCTTTTTTTTCTCCCATGTGAAATGTGTACTAACACAAAAACCCCCTTTATGTGTTTTTTCTCCCATTCTGCTGATGCAACCCAAGACCTCGTGCATGCTAAGCAAGCACTCCACCACTAAGCTACACCCCCTGCTCTGGAAGCCCTTTCCATGTCTTTAGCTATACTACTATCTTTTTTTAGCTATACTATCTTGCATGCATTTATTGACCACTTATTGGAAGTCATACTTTTGGATGCTTCCAGTTAGATTCCTTAATACTTTTCTTTAGGATTTATGGAACCTACTGGCATGAGCCTAAGAAGTCTTACTGTTAGTTCTGTCTGTTAGCATGTTGGTTAAAACCAACACACAAACACTGATGTTCATTTTGACATAAATATGGCACCTTTTGAGCATAGAATACATCCTGTCATAGCTGACAAAGTAATTTTATGGAAAATGGTTAGTTTTCGCCTAAATATCCTTATCGATCAATCTGCATTTATAAAAGGTAGTATTGTCACTGTATAAATCAGGAAGGCTTTTCTCAAAAAACACAACCTCTAAGGCTATCATATGTAATCTGGTTTCTGGAGTCCCTCTGACGAGTGGACAATGGCCTAGTCTTTTTAGAAAAAAGGTAAACCACTCCCTGAAGCCTGGATTGCTCTTTTCTTCTACCTCTTCAAGAAGCTTGTTTTTTCTGACCATACTATAACCCAGAGCCAGAAAACCTCCTTAATAGTCATTATGATATAAAAAGGAGGAGTATGGTTTTGATTTCAAGTTCAACCACTCAACAAATATGAGAAGCACAACAAAAATTCAACAGGAAAACTTATCCTATGGAGTTTTTTCTTTTGAAAAACAGATAATTTCAGCTGAGTATAGTGGTGGGTACTTGTAGGCTCAGGTACTTGAAAGACTGAGATGGGAAGATCTCTTTATCCCATAGTTTTGAGACCTGCCTGGGCAACAGAAAGACCTCATCTCGAAAGAAAATAAAGTCATTTAACCTTTCTGAAACTTTGTATGGTTTTGGAAACTGAACAAACAAATATTAAATCCTACTATTTACTGCGTACAAATACGTTCAGCATGTTAGTGTCAAGTACTTTTCATACTGAATCCTCTCAAAATTCTTTGACATTAAGGTACAATTATCTCTACTTATAGATAGGCAAACTGAGTCGAAGAGGATGTTTTTTGTCCATGGCATGCAATTAGTGGAAGAACCAGGATTCATATCTGTTTGGACTTCAAAGTCTGATCTTATCATTACATAGTTATCTGCTTATGAAGCAGGAGATGGCACACAGCTCCGCAACAGGGCTAGAATGGTTGAGAAAACATCTATTCATTAACAAATGTGATATTAAAGTATCTTGAAAGGCAAGACATTACCATCTGAACAGCGCTGATATACTGCTTTTGTTCCACATAGATGTGCGCTAAGTTCAACCACACATCGCTGATATCCGCTGTTGCTTCCCTTACTTGGGCAAATACATCACGAGCTTCACGGAAATATCCTTTGTGGGCCAAAACAGCTCCTAAAGAACAGAAAGACTCACATTTAAGAATGTTTTAACCACAGCCAGAAAAACAACTGAACATCCAATTTTAAAATAATTACATTGGTTAAATTTGCAGAAAAAGTCTCATTTACAAGCACTGCTCTAGAAGTACTAATTTCACAAGTCATTACAGACACCAAGTCACCCATAATCACCTATGCCATTAGCAGCATAAAGATTCTTCGCGTCGTTTCTGAGAACTTGTTTGTAGATGGCCAGAGCACGATCTTGATGACGCTTTTCCTATAAAAAGAAGTACACGCTGTTAAAAAAAAAACGCAAAGAAGAGTGCAGACTGTCTGCTCTGTTTAAAAATACAAAAGAGAATTACCTTCTCTCGGTCTCGAGTGGGCTGATGCAAAGTCTGCAGCCACACGTTGCCCAGGGCTAGCATGGAGTAGGTGTCACTCTGCGTGGACGGCTGCTTCAGTATCCTCTCAAACTTCTTCTGGCCGGGACCCCACTCTTGTTTGGCCAAGTGAAGATTACCAATCAAAGACCAAGCGTCTGGATGATCCTGAAACACACACACGAAAAATCAAAACCTGCAATTTAGACTGAGGGAGATCAATCCTCCTCCCCCGACGCTGATAGCTGAAGACGTTTTACAAGCCACATTACAACAGTGACTTTCCAGCTGACAGTCAAGACCCCTTCATGAGTTGCAAAATCAATTTAGTGTGGAGCTATCAGCATACAAACTGCCAACAGAATAGAATAAAGTAAAAAATATCAGGGCACTCTTCAGCAAAACCAAGTAACGACGTGCAACATTTTTTCTTTCAGTTGTTTGTATATACACATGTCAGTGTATGTCTGCTAGCCTACAGCACAGAATCTTTTCACTGTGGGCCACGATCAGAAAGTTTAGATGATCCACATGGTTCTATCCAACATGCAAAGATACTACACAATGCCACAAATTATTCTAATTCTCAGAGGGTACTAACTAAATCTTAAGTGAAGTAAACTTGAGAGGGTATCCGTGCATGCACCAGGTCATATGTTGAAGTGTGGGTGAAAGGACAGGATGAGGGAAAAGAAACGAGGGAAATATAAGAGACTGTATGAAAATACGGTTCCTACTATTACATGGTTAATAATGCAAGCTACTATACTCTTTAATATTTTAGTAAGTAAATGAAAAATAAATCAACCAAGCATCAAACAACAGAGAGATGCCAATGTTATTAGAAACATGATAGCTGTTAAAAGGAAAAACTGAATGGGGGTAAAAAAAAATGAAAATAATTATTTTTAAGCCTAAGAGTCAATATTACCAACCTGATTAATCTGAAGAGCTTCCTTAAACCAATCTGAAGCCTCATAAAAGTTTCCTTTATCTCTGGCCATGGCTCCTAGCCGCAAATAACCTGAAAACACATTGAAAAGTTTTTAATCTAATGGAGCATTACTCGGCCATAAAGAAGAATGAAGTTTTGTCATCTGTAGGAAAATGAATGGAACTGGAGATCATCACATTATGCAAAATACTGCATGTTGTCCACAACATGTGGACTCTCAAAAGATGACAGAAGACCATTAGACAAGTGCAAGGAAATAAGGGGAAGGGGAAGGGGAGTATAGACATGATCAAAATATATTATAGACATTGAAACCCAGTATTTTGTAAAACCAACAGGTACGAGTAATAAAAATTATGTTTTTATGTTCAAATTATTAGCTATAATGGATATTTATTTATTTATCTATTGAGAAAGTCTAACTATGCAACCTAGGTTGGCCTTGACCTTGTGAACGTCCTACCCCTGCTTCCAAAGTACTGGGATTACCAAGATATACTACCACGCTTGATGGAGACCACTATGAAGCAGCCCTGAGCAGGACTTAAAGTAACCAGTTAGCTTTTCATGTCTACTTGTGAATCTGGGGCTGGGGATATAGCTCAGTGGCACAGCACCTGTCTGGCAAGCATGAGGTCCTGAATTTGAATCCTGATTCCAAAAAATAAAAAATAAAAAAATACTTGTGAATCTGTCTAAGGCCTAGGGCACTTGTCTGGAAGTGGGTGACGGACTCATAGTAAGTGAACCTCTATGAGTTACTAATCCATACTAAAATCTGTAATAGTGGATGAAGCCAGAAAGCCTAAAAGGGTAAGACAAGATCACAGCCAAGGACACCTAGATCTGATCTGAACTAGATAAAGACTGTAGCCTCAGGCATCTCACTCCTGGGTGGATTAACTTAATACCTTACTTGGAGAACTCCTTGGGTAATTCCACCTTTCTTGAGTACTCCCCTCCCTTCTTCTGATAACCAAATAAACACAGACCACTCAGAGAAGATCTTGGTCTTAGTGAGTCTCAAATTCTGTGAGAGGGCTTTGATCCTCTTGGGGCCCTGAAATCATTTCCCTCTTTTTATTTAGCCTTCGCCATACACATGTTCGGGAGATTGCAGACCTGATCAACCCGCAGTGACCAAGGGATATTATTAACCCAATACACACTTAGCTTGGATCATAATTTTTAATCATACTTTTAAAATAACTGTGCCTTTTTAATACATCCATGTAACGAAGAGAGAAGCCTCATGGATGAATAAACATCAAACATCAATTTAACAAGTAAAAAGTAATTTTATCACATTAAGTCTTGTGTTTGAAATCTAGGATTCATCTGTTCCATTCCATTTCTTATGCCAGCACCCTGCTCCAGGTTCCTGTCTCAAGCTAAGTTACTTAAAAGGCTTGGACAAGTCTATTTCCAATTTCTCTCTAAAAGATACTACTGTCAGCTACTTTTCCTTGAAAAGCTACTTGTCGCTAGGGATATAGCTCAGCAGCACAGCACCTGGCTGGCAGGTGCCAGGTCATGAGTTTGGTTTTGTTTTTTTTTTTGGTTGGGTTTTCTTATGCAGTTCAGGCTGGCCTTGAGCTCACTTTGTAGCCCAGGCTGGTCTCGAACTTGCAGTGATCCTCCTGCCTCAGCCTCCCGAGTGCTGGGATTACAGGCGTGAGCCACCATGCCCAGCTCCAGGTCATGAGTTTGATTCCCTGTACCAAAAAAAAAAAAAGCTACTTGTCATAAGACAAAAGAGTGAAAGCATAGAATGCTAGGACCCATTAGTTAGGAGAGTGAGGATCTAACCACTGCCCTTCCTCTTAAATAACAATATAGTATCCCACAAGTGTAACACAATAGGACTGTCCCATGCTACCTGGTGGAACAGTTGTGCACGTACCAGGAGTGGTTCTCACCAGCAGGAATGTAACACATTTAAATCAGAGCTGCCCAGCAGTGAGGCATATGAATTTGGCCCCATCATGCTTGAGGGGTCTATGCCTTCTCCAGGAGGTGCAGACAGTACCAAACCCTAGATAGACTGGTGTGTCCTGGATACATATTTTTTCAATACCTGTATCTACCTGTATATGTATCAGTAATACATTTATAAATTAGACACACAAGATTAACAATACCTAACAGTAAAATAGAACAATTACAATATACTGTAATGAAAGCTGTGCAGCCTTAGCACATGATTCTTTTGTTTCCTTTCACCTTTTCACTCTTTTTTTTCTTTTTTGGTACTGCGAATCAAACTCAGGAACTTGCAGTTGCCAGGCAGGAGCCTATGCCACTGAGCTATATCCCCGGCCCTCACCTTGTCACTTTAAACAAGGCATGTCATGGCTTTTCATTAGTGTATCTGTATTGCTAGCATCATTACTTTTGTACTTTGGGACTATTTTTAAGTACAATAAAGGTTACTTGAACACAAATAAGGGGATACTTAGGCATCATGGCACATGCCTGTAACCCCAGCACTTGGGAGGCCGATGCAGGAGGATTTTCTATGAGTTCAAAACCAGCCTGGGACACATAGTGAGTTCAAGGCCAGCCTAACTACACAATGAGACCCTGTCTCAAAAAAAAAAAAAAAAAGAAAATCAAAAAGAACACTGTGATACCCAAGAGTTGCTCTGATAACAGAAATGATTTCTAAGCTACTAATACATGAGCAGTAGACACAGTGTCAATACACTGGAAATAGGGGTGAGTCACAACCTGGGATGACCTGAGTGAGACTTCATCAACCTATTTAGAAAGGTGTGCAATTTACAATTTACCAATTTTTTTTTTCTGGAATTTTCCATTTAATATTTTGGGACCATGGTTCAGTGTGAGAAAATGAAAACTGTGGAGAATGAAACCACGGATAAGGAGGTACTGCTGTATGGTACACAAATTCAAAACTTCCCTAGGCTGCAAAAACTCAAACTAGGACATTTGAGCAATAATAGTTTGAAGAAAAACCATTTCTCTTAGTATTATAAACACTATAAAAATGTTTACATGCAATCCAAAGGAGTTCCAAAGGAACATCCATTATCAAATATGCCACAGAGTGGTTAAAAGCTTAATAAAGACAGCTGAACCACTGAACATGCCTATATGGTCCAAGTGGTTTTTGTTACTTCCTGTATTTTCTAGCACAAATATAAGCGAACCTGCATGTTTTCAGGCCCTATGTCTGCTTCAAAGAAAAAGGGAAATCAGAATCTTCAAGGTTTTTACTACTGGCTCTGAAGTTTTTTTCCCAACTGAGTTTTTGCCACTATTGTGGGAATCTAGGAATTTATTGTGTAAGAAAAGTTTAAAATTCTTACAGTCTACATAATTGGGATGTTCTCGTAAGATGTTCTTGTACAGTTTTTCCGCTTCGTGGAATTCACACATGGCCTCGTACAGCCTGGCTAAATTGTACGAGGTAGTAACAGAAATGGCGTTATAGTAATGTTCATCATGCTCAGCCTCTGCCTTTGCACGATCCAATGATGCCAAAAAATATTTCTATGAAGAAGAAAAGAAAATATCATAGTTAAAAGACTTAATTGGTACACCTAAACAAAAGCATGCATTCAACTTGATCAAGCATAAAAGAGGGGAAGATTTCCAATTTCCTACCTTTGCCTCCCCTAGGTTTCCAAGTCTAAAATGGAGGGCACCAACATTATTCAGGATCTCAGGGGGGACATCGGCTTGCACTTTCTCCTGAAGGATTCGTGTTGCTGTTCCATAGGCTGAAAGGGCACCCTGTATTTTTATGGAGGACAGAGCAAGGCATATGAGAAAGTAAGAGAGAAATACTACACCAGGCTTATAAAACACACACTATACAGGAGACAAAAAGCATGACTATATTACCTGTATATCGGTCTGTTCTAAGATCTGTGCCAGTTCAATCCAAGCCTCAACATCATCAGGGTACTGTTCTGTGACCTTCTTCAAATGGCCCTTTGGATAAAAGAAATCATTAAACTAATGTTGCAAAGTAAAGAAAAAAAACCATGGCTATCTTTTTTTTTTCTGTCGTCTTTTTGAGACAGGGTTTTAGTATGCAGTTCAGACTGGCCTTAAACTCACTTTGTAGCCCAGACTGGCCTTGAACTCGCAGCAATCCTCCTGCCTCCGTCTACCGAGTGCTGGGATTACAGGTGTGCACCTCCATGCCTGGCCTACAGGCGGCTATCTTAACCTGCTTACCACGCCAACTGTTTGCTATCTAGACCAGAACAAGCTCAGCTAACAAAACTGCTTCTATCACAGCTCCACCGGCGCTAACGGGAAACGGGCACTGACAGGTGTGGGACAGCAGAAAGTAGGTAAGATTTTTGAAAAAGGTACCTTGGCAATATCTCTTTTTTCTTGATCTTCTGATGCAGCATACAGAGAGCCGAGAATTTTCATCGTTTCATAATTGTTAGGATAAGCTTTCAAAACTTTCTCAAAGCACTGAGATGCATTTTCTTTGTCACCTCTATAAATATACATTTGTCCCAAACCAAAAAATGGGAGCACAAAAGAGGATGAGGCAAACTGTGTGGCCTGATAGTAGTACTGGAAAGCTTGGTCGTAATCTTCCTAAAATAGGAAAATAAAACAAGATCAGTATGTCTATGAGTGCTAACAAGACCAGAAAAGCGGTAAATAAAAGGAAATTATAACAATGATAAATAAAAAGGAAAGACTGTTGGAAGATCATCTGACCTGAACATGGAACGACCGCGCCAGCTGGTAGCAGCTTTCGGCTTGCATGGCCTCTACTTCGGTGTTGTGGAAGGCATGGAGAGCCAGGTGCTGGACTTTACTGTAGTCCTGCAGAACAACCATGAGGTCAACTGAGTGATCCCTATGGTCACCGTGGATAGCTGCTTTATAAACAGCAACACTTGCTTTACCTGTAAATACATTTTCATCTTCCCCCCAAAGAGCTGCCCTCTAGTACTCCAACAGGAATAACCTGTAGCTTAATCAATAATTCCTTATGAAAATGGAGTGTGCTTCTATAGCCAGAGAGTATAAAGTACTGTGGTTAGTAGCTGTGTGGCTTTAAACTATGAACTCTGCCTCAATTCATTCACTCATAAAATGAGGAGATTGCTTATTCTAGAGCACTGCTGTGAAGAGTACAGAACTCCTGGGATGCACTTTTAACAGTTCTTATCCTTTAGCAGGCACTGCATACATACTAGCGACAACAACATTGTACCTCTTATTAATAAGATGGATATATTTTTGTGAACTTTTACCGAAGTTGCTGTTTAACTAAAGTTCTTAGTACAATTTAGTATCTGGTTTCATTACGGCAGATTAAACTTTCATGTGTATTATATAAAAACTTTGTCAACAAAATCTTGTACTTAATATTTTAAGGAATCGAGCCGGGAGTGGTGGCACACACCTGTAATCCCAGCACTCAGGAGGCTGAGGCAGGAAGCCTCATTGCAAGTTCAAGGCCAGCCTGGGCTACACAGTGAGCTCAAGGCCAGCCTGAACTGCAGAGTAAGACCCTGTCTCAGAAAGACAAAAAAAAAAAAAAAAAATTTTTTTAAGGAATCGAAAATAGTATTGCTTCTCCAGAATTAGTGGCAATTTTTAAAATGTACCATAATCAACACGAAAAAACAACAACAAAAAATTGCCAAAGATTCCTTGTTGGCTACACAAGTACATCCAGGTTCCACTCACCAGCGCCTCATTACCTGGAACCAGCGTGCTGCCTGTCACACTGGACACTATGCTCTACTGAACCAAACTGCTCAGATTACTTCACAGACCTGGGCCTCCCTTTCCAACTCGCCAGTGACTGCCTTCTAAATCAGGCGTCAGAGTGTTCCACTGTGGTGAAGAGCCTGCTTAACTACAGCATCATTTCCTCATTTCTCCACCGTAAGTGGGCACAGACCTTTACTTTTACATTTACTTTTGCTTTCATCTTTGTGTTTTCTATGAAACTGAACTGGCTGAGTGCAGAAACCATGCCTTCTTCATCTCCAAATGCTTACTGCAGCACTGGGCACGGTACAAAGGCTCAAAGAATATTACATGAATGAATGAACAAACAGACCCACACCAGGGTAACTAACACAAACACTAACTGAAAAAAACCAACATTTCCAAAGTATTGACTATATTCAGGAAAACAAAAATCAAGATTTAAGAATAAATGGCAAAAAAAAAAAAAAAGAGAGACAGAAAAAGAACAAATGGTTTCCACTACCTTTTTGAAGAAAAAGTGATTTGCCAAGTGGTTCAATACCATCGGGTTACTGGGATCAATAGTATATGCTCTGGAAAGAAGCTGGACACCATTTTTGATGGAATCGGCCTAAAAGAAAGCAATGCAAGAGAGTAGAATGAAAAGATTATTAACACTTTTGTAAAGTTTTCTTTATAATCCGAAGAAATAAAAATTTTGTTTTTTTTTTTTGTCTTTTTGAGACAGGGTCTCACTATACAGTTCAGGCTGGCCTTGAGCTCACTTTGTAGCCCAGGCTGGTCTCGAACTTGCAACGATCCTCCTGCCTCAGCTTCCCAAGTGCTGGGATTTTAGGCGTGCACCCCCACACCGAGCAAAGAAATAAAATCATATATAACTCTAAGCTCAGACATCAGCACAGTGCCTTAGTTAATTTCACCAAGGATAAAAAATTTCAAGTAACAAGCCACCAAACTGTTAGAGAATTCCTTTTCTTTTGGTATGGGAACTTGAACACAGGACCTCACACTTGCAAGGCAGGCACTGTGCTGCTGAGCTATATCCCCAGCCCAATGCAGTATTTTTTTGTTTGTGTGCTTTGGTTTTTTGAGATGGTCTTCTTATGCAGTTTAGGATGGGCTTGAACTTAGTATGTAGCCCAGGCTGGCAACAAATTCATGGCTATCCTCCTGCCTCAGCCTCCTGAGTGCTGTCATTGTGCCTGGACAACTCGCACATTAAGACAGACAGAAAGGTGTAAAACATATACACACAGCTATAGACTTTATAAATCAGTCAGAAAGTAAATATCTTTTCCCTCACATACCTCTTTATTGTTGAGTTCCAAGACAGCCAGTCCAACCAATGCTCCTACACATTTGGAATTAAGTTCCAGGGCTCTGCTGAATGCTAGACGAGCTTTCTCTAGCTTGTTAAGCTTCACAAAGCAATGGCCCATTCCTAAACGAACTTCAGCTAAAAAACAAAAATCAATCAGTCAAACTGGGGCATTTTTAGGGTTTGGTTACAAAAATGCTTAAATATTCTCCCTGCATGAGTTAGCCTCAGCATAACAACACTATACAATCTCTTGGCCTACCAAAAGCTTGGTTTCATTAGTGGTTAGAGCATACCATTTTTCACCTCGCTTCCCTCCAATGGGTAGCTTTCCCACCATAGAAAAGAACACCGCTAACACTGGTATTTTTCTTGTAGTCCAACACCCCTGCTACATTATACCCTCTCTACTGTACCCAGCTCAATTTCTAATTTTTGAAAAGCGTACTTAAACAGAGGGGAAAATTTCTATGAAGACCTTGGATATTGTGCCTGATGACACCCACATGCTTTCACTTCAGAACGATGCATGCTCCTCATCTCAAGGCCTTGTGAGAACACAAAGGGCCAACCTCTCCCCTGATCACTGGATCCTTTCTCTTTTTTTGTTGTTGTTTTTTTTTTTGTTTTTCTCCGGTACTGGGAACCGAACTCATGACCTTGTGCTTGCCAGGCAGGCGCTTTTGCCACTGAGCTAAATCCCCAGCCCCTGGATCCTTTCTCATCTATTTGAGAACACTGCTCTAGAAAACCTCCACTATTTTTCCTGCATCCTAAAATCTTTCCTCCCTACTGGATCATTCGTTTTTTTTTTTTTGTCTTTTTGAGACAGGGTCTCCCTATGCAGTTCAGGCTGGCCTTGAGCTCACTGTGTAGCCCAGGCTGGTCTCGAACTCACAATGATCCTCCTGCCTCAGCCTCCTGAGTGCTGGGATTACAGGCGTGCACCACCATGCCCAGCTAATGGATCATTCTTATCCATTTATAATTCTCCTATCTTATAAAAATCCTTTCTTGGTGCCATTTCCCTTTCCAGTTGCCAATCCATTCCTGATCTTCCTTTGATAGCAAAACTCCTTGACAGATCTAATACTTGTTGCTTTATTCCTTTCCTTTTGCATTCTCTTGAACTTACTCCATTGAGGGGCTCACTCTCACCATTTGAGTAAAATGGCTTTCACCAAGGGTACTTATGATTTGTACACTGATGAATCCAACGGATCAATCACTCAGTCCCTATTTTACTTGGCGTAACAACAGAATGTGACAGTCACCTGCTTCTTCTAGGAACATTTTTATTTTGGCTTCAGGGACACTGCAGGTACCCTGGTTTCCTCCCCCACCTCCGGAGGTTCCTTCCTGGTTCCTTTGCTGATTCATCCTCATTTTCCTAAACTCTAAATACAACAGTGCTCTAGGGCGCCATGCCCGAAGAGCTTTCGGTCTACACTCACTGCACTGGCGTCTTCATGCAGTTGCACGGACCTTACACTATCTGTATGCTGATGATTTCCAAATTCACAGCTTCAGCCCAGATCTCTCACATGGACTCCGGCACAAAGGTCTGGCCTCTGTACTTGTTTACTCTAAAAGCGTCTTGAACTTTTCTTATCTAAAACTAGATCCTCTTAAGCTGTTTTTCCGAAGACAGTAAAATGTAATGCCACACTTCCAGTGGCTTATGCAAGGGGTTATCTTTGACTCTTGCTCTCTTTGTCTCACACATCACATCTCTTCTATCAGCTCTTCCTTCAAAATATATTTAGAATCCGAGCATTTGTACCTTCTCCATTACTCCCGCCCTCGTGTGAGCCACAGTCAGCTGTGACCAGGATGACTGAGATGGCCTCTCCCCACTCTTTTTCTGGGCCTGCCCTCTTCTCCTACATCTCATTCTAGTTGCAACTCAGAGGCTCAAATGATCCTTTTAAATGTAAGTCTGATCCAGGGATTCTTCTGCCCAAACCCTTCCAATGGCTTCTATCTGCTGGAGTAAAACATGAAGTCCTTGTAATAATCTAGGATACTCTACATGATTACTACCAGGTTGTACCTTTGACCTCATTTCTTAGTACTTTCTCCTGTGCCCCATTCCAGATACACTGACTCCCCACTATCTTCAAACTTGCTAGGCACAAGCTTTTTTTCTTCAGTATTCAGGGTCTCAAGTACATTAGGCAAGAACTCTGCCACTGAGCTACAACCCCAGCCTGTTTAAATTTTATTTTGAAGCAGAGTCATACTTAAGTTGTCCAGGCTATCTTGAAACTTGGGCTTCTCCTGCCTCAGCTTTCTCAGCCACTGGGATTACAGGTTTGCACCGCCATGCCCAGTCAGGCAACTCTTTCCTCAGGGTCTTTGTACTTCCTATGCTGTCTCTCCCTGGAAATGTTATTCTCCCATATATCTGCGCGGCTCTCAGTGTTTTAGATGTTTACACAAATGCTGTTACCTTGGATGAGTTTCCTTGGCCACTCTTTCTAAGCAAGTCCTAGTGCTTCCTTTTTTTGCTCTATTCTTATTCTTAGCCATTGCCAATTAGCTTACATAGTACATTTTTCTTTTTCATTTAATTTTCTCTACTGGAAACTGAATTATAGGGAAGTAGGGTCTTTTTTCTCTTTGATTCATTCCTGTATTCCCAGTATTAGAACAGGCCTGGCACATAATTGGAACTCAACAAAAATCAGCTAAATTAATGGCATTTTGGAAAAAACCGTAACATACGGGGGGAAAGATTATAATATGATCTACAATCCAACTTTTAAATCAAATACAACACTTAAGGAAAAAATAATCTTGATTCTGTCATTTCAGTATGCCAACATTATCTTTTCATAGGCCACTGCCAATTTTTCAATAGTTTAAGTTGGATCATACATAGCTTAGAACTAAAATAAAGTTTTTCTCTTACCTGGACATCCTGGGTTTGTACGCAATGCTTTTTTATAGTAAGCAAGAGCTCCTCTGTAATCCTTCTTGTTGAAGGAAATACAAGCTTTACCTGTAAAGATTTAAAAAAACAAACATGCACTGTCTGATTAAAGAACACAGATCTACCATGCTTTACAGTTTACATTGACTTTCCTAAATTAAAGACATTAAAGAAATACTTGCAAAGAATGAACATGATTTCATATTTGAGCAAGACATACTGATTTATGCCTAAAAACACTTTATATTACATATTATAAAATAACAGCTGAAACAGCTTGTAGTTGACTAAGTAGAGGATGTTTAAGGAATCTTTGGAAGCAAATAATAAATTATTTTTAACTGGTATACGTTTATTTCTGTAGTTTCAACAATAATCTGCTACAGGTAGCTTCATATTTAATAAGATAACAAATGCTCTTCTTTGCAGTTCAGCTGTTAGTAAGGCACTATTACAAAGAGACAGAGTCTGAACATATGCGGAAAAGCTAGATTCCCAAGATGATTGCCACAGATCGCTCACCAAGAAGGGCTGGAATATTATTTGGAGACTGGTTGAGTACAAAATGAAACTGTGCGTCAGCTTGATCCATTTTGTCACCTTCAAGGAGGCAGAAGCAGGCTCTTCCCAGCAAATGGTTCTGTAAAGTAATGCATCATCTTAGGCTTTACTATACTAAGGACTAACCACGATTTACCAGGAATGTGTAAAATTAAAATGAAAACCACACAGAAAGGAGGTAGAACAGAATTAAAATCTCTATCAAGTATAATGTAAGTTTCAAATAAGCAATTCTTAATTACAAAATGAAAAATTATCCTAAAACACAAATTTTCTGTGCCAGTAACAATGATAAAAAGTAAAGTGCAAAGTCCTTAAAATATATGTGAAAGGGGATAGGGGCTGGGGATTTAGCTCTGCGGCACAGTGCCTGGCTGGCAAGCGCGAGGCCGTGAGTCCGATTCCTGGTACCAGAGAAAAACAAAAAAATGTGAAAGTCACCTGGAAATGTTGGAATTATTGATTCAATATGTGGGTAAGCTTTACATACTTACTTCAACAGTACTAGGACTGAAGGAATTCCAATTTTAATGAGGGAGCCTTTATTTCAACTGTATCAATGACACGTATTAATTTTACAAATTAATGGCATTCACTGATATTTCCATGTATGCACACATTAGGTATGATCACATCCATCAGCCCCTCTTTAACTCTCAATTCCTTCTCCATGCCCCAATATTATTTTAAGAAAAATTCTTTCAAAAAAATCTGCTATCATGCACATTTTACTTTCATGTGGTATTTCCCCCCGTTTCATAAATTGAAAGAAATCTGATTTATTTTACCTGGTCATACATAATAATTTTATCAGCCATTGTATACAACAAGGTTGCCTGTGTAATAAGATCCTTCTTATTGTCCTTATTCTTTTCTTTCCGAGCCTGTTGTACATAGTAGGCTGCCAATGTATCCAAGCAAGTCATCTGGTCTTTCTCATGGTCTCTATAATCCAAATTGCCATCTATACGTGCTGCTTCCAACAACTTTACAAACTCTTCTGTTTTTCCTTGCTTGTAGTATTCCAGCTATGAGGTAAAAGATCAAATTAGAATCACTGAAGCACATGTCCATATAAAAACCTATATACAAATGTTTATAGCAGCTCTATTTGTAACAGCAAAACACTGAAAGCAATGCAAATCGTGATTAACAAGCAAATGGTGATTACCAGCAAATAAACTGGTATATCCATACAAGAGGCAATCTGCAATAAGAAAAAGTGAACTCCTGATACATGCTAGAACTACAGAAATCTCACTTATGCTGAAAGAAGTCAGACCAAAAAAAAAGCACATATTGTGTGATTTCATTTATATAAAACTCTAGAAGATGCACGCCAATCTTCAGCAACCAAAAGACCAGTGGTCGCTTGCAGCTGAAGGTTAGCTGGGGGAGGGTGGATTAGGGCGATATTCATTAACCTTGAACGTGGCGAAGGTTCCAAAGGTGCATATCAGAATATATTAAATGTGCACTTCAAATATGTGCAGTTTATTATAGGTCAATTACACTTTAATAAAGCTGTTAAGAAAATCTGAATCACTTGAAATGTTTCTAATCTGCTTCTTATCTAGCAACAGTTGATTTCAAACTAAAATGTTCAAATATGCATTGCCTGAGAAAGAAAGCAGTATGGATTGGGTCTAAATCTACCAAAAATTATCTGTGACTTCGGGCCTGCTGGATACCCTCCCTGGGTACCTGTTTTTAAATATAAAAGGAATATCCATCATTTACTAACCACCTCTTTTGAGATCACATACTATGCCAAGAGCTTCAAATACATTTTCTCTAATCTGTAAAACTATGAGTGGGTCTTAATATCCTCATATTTTAGAAGAAGCAGGCTCAGAATTTAGACCATATACTGAAGGTCATACAAGCAGCTGGCAGCTAAACTGAGACTTGAATGAAGGCTTCTCTAATCCCAAAGACACTCTGTCCCTGTAACAACCTATATTCCACAGTGTCTCATCACTTCATTCTATAGCAGGTGCCGTGCTAACCCTCCAATATTCAAGTTTTGGGCAAGTGCTGTTAAGGCATACATACTGAAAAAAAAACCCTCAAGCTACCTTCTGGTTTACAAAAATGTGTGACACGGATCAATAGCTTGGTTTCTATGGAATGGGAGAATTTGGCACTTCTAGTTAATAAAAGTATTTCTCTGTATATCCACATCAAATAAAAGAAGTTTCTGCAGTTGGCTTGAGTACTAGATGCAAGCCCAGTTCCAAACCTACTTCTCTGACCCTTCAAGATAATATTAGGAACCTCTTATGCATCTTAATATAAAAGCAACTTATGACACACCTGCTTAGCAATGATTATTATATTACCTGTTCACAGACACAAGAAACACAGTGCTAGGAAACATGGTACATGGTAAAAGGTACAAAATTCTAGGCTTTCTGGTTGGGTTTTCCTGGGAACTTGTGGTAATAGTCATGTTATGGAGGGGGTTAAATAAGACATAAATACACAAGCCTGAAATAAACTTTATCCAGAAAGGCTTTTTTTTTTCCCCCTAAAAAGGCTTTTGTGGGTTAGCCTGGAACCTAATCACCTTTAGAGTATTTCAGGGGAAGTATTTTACAGTTACAGAAAACAGTGTTAAGTAGCAGTGTTTATACTGTAGCACGCTGTTTCTTCTTACAGCGTATTTACACAGTACATAAGCCAGTCTTCACTGGATCATCACTACAGAATCCAAAACTCAATACAGAGTACTGTTTAATGTAAATGAATGTTGCCTTTACTAATATACACTAATTTACTAGTGGAGTAGTGCATCAATTAGGCAACTGCCCTCATTGTTCCAAAACAATATAATTAAGATCCATAAAAATAGTCTAATTTTTATCATATACCCAAACTGGCTATTACTATATTGGAAAACATAAACCACATATTTTCCCAGTCAACACATAAACACATTTGCTATATGAATACTGACCGCCAAAGCAATCCATATGTGCAGTTGCGTATGTTCCTGCTTCAGAATACTAATAACTTCATCTCCCTCCGGTAACTGATCGAAATCAAGTTCAATGACCTAAAACACAAAATTTAGGTTTTATCTCTTTTTTTCTTATTAAATTCACATTTTTTCTTTGCTGCTTTTTCTTGAATATACAACAACATGCATATACTTTCAAAAAGGTTGACGTAATACATGTTAATATTTAGGAAATATTCGACAGATTATATGGTGATATTAAAGCAAAAGCATACAGAAGCAAACAATTCCTGCTGGCTGTCCCGGCACTATCAGAACTACAAAATAAATGCTCTGCTCACTGAAAGGTGACAGAACAAAACTCTCCTTAACCTATAACCCAAGTAAAATGCTGAAAACACCCTGGAGACTCTGATGCCATAGTTCTGACACCTTGAGAAACGCGAGCCTAGAGGCCATGCAGAGGCGAATACCACTCTACACATAAATCACGGAGGCAGCATTTGTGTGACACAGATACTGCTGAATGCGGGCACAAAAATAATAATAGGGAAAATGTTCTGGAATAAGGCAGAGGTCATAGAGTTGTGTGACTACACAACCTGGCAAACATACAGAGACTACTGAGTTTTATAAATGAATTATATCTCAGCACTGTATCTCGGACAAACAAGAAGCAAACAGCATGAAATATTCAAGAGGAATGAACATCCAAGCTGAGCCCCTTATTCACACAAACCATAGGGAGAGCGCGTCAATTCTACCAGCACACCGCAGTTGCTAAGTCTTGGGCGCGCTACCCCGCTGGTGGAGCGTTGTGTTGCCAGAGTGCAGCAAGACAGCCTGGCGGAAGGGGCGAGCCCTCGCATATTCCCGGGGACAGATACCAAGTTTGGGCGCCAGGGAGACCACGGTGACAGCAGCGCCCACCTCTCCCACCCGCAAGGTGCTTCACAGTTTATCGGGCAAGCTCACGCTCCAGCGCTCGCCAATTAGGACAAGAACAAGGTACTGTCAAAAACGAGCAGGCTGGCGCGGAACTTGTAAGAACTCCAGCGGAGCGGCCCCGGCTGCAGGGACGCGGGGTTCCCAGCCCGGGGGTAGGGGCGCGCGGGCTGGAAGGAGGCGATCTGGGCTCGGACCCGGGGTTTCGATCTGGGATTCCGCGGGACAAGGGTGCGCCCGCATCGGAAACGAAGTCAGGGGGTCGGGAGCGGGACAGTCGTTCCAGATCACGGCCCCCAGCCCCTCCAAACCCCGACACCTACCTCGTCAGTGTCCCGGAGGGGAATCTCGATGGAGCCCCGCGACATGATAAGATCCGAAGGCGAGCGGGCGTGTCGCCCCGCCGTTCAGCAACTGGAAGTCCTCGGTTCTGGCTTGTCCGCGGGCAAGCGACGGCTCGGGATCGGGTCGTGACTGCCGCCCCGCGGCGCCGCCGAAGCTCGGGCTTCTCCTTCCCGTCAGACGCTCAAACAACGAGCAGCGGACGGCGACCGGCCACTTCCGGAGGCCCCGCCCCCTGCCCCGGAAGCAATGCCCGCCAAAGAGCGCGTCCGACGCGGCTCCCTCTGTGGCTCTAGCGTGTCCTTCTTCGCTCCTGGGCTGTCGGCTTGTCCGCTTCAGGTGGCCCGAGAACTCGAGGAACCTCCGGGAACCTGCGCCCTTGGAGTAGCCCGGAGCCAGCTCTTTATTTAAGCAAGGCTCGGAAGGCGGGACCGCTACGCCCTTCTGTGGGCGGGGCCTCTGGCCACGTAGCCTCTGTGGGCGGGGCCTGGCAGCCTCAATCTCCAGCTCGCTGGATCGCCGGATAACACGGTTCGTTTATCCGCGCCAGGTGGTTGAGTGATCCTCAGGCAGCTTTTCTGTGCGGGTCATACCGGTGATACCTCTGTGGCCACTTGAAATAGACATGTTACGATTAATTCTGTAGTTATGGTGATAATTTTTTTTTATGGTTTCTTGAAGCATGAGATTTCTTAGATTTGTGACTTTAATAAAATTGTTGAAGAGTTTGTTCAAACCAGTAATCGAGGTTTGATTAAATTATATAATTCGATTAAATGATTGTGGAATTGGATTGAATTAGGTTGTGATCAGAGTTTTGACTACATCAAAGAATCTCCTTGAATAAACTTTTTGCTGTTTTTGAGACAGGGTCTGGGTATATAGTTCAGTCCTCCTGCCTCAGCCTCCCAAATGCTGCCTCCATGGCCCTGCTGACCTTGAGTAAACTTGTGAACAGCGTCGATTTTACTTCCCAAGTGTTTTCCAAGTGCACCCCCTTTCTTCATCTCCACTAGCTCCATGTGTCCATCACTCACCTGGATTACCACAGTCGCTTTCTCTTTCACAGAGTATTCCATTTACTCTGGCCCCAAGCTCCAACCAGGCTTCGGCCATGTTACACTCTTATGTTTAATACTTCCCGATTTGATTTTGGTTTTGGAGGGGAATTTTTTTTTTTTTTTTTTTTTGGTCTCACTATACAGTTCAGGCTGGCCTGGAGCTCACTTTGTAGCCCAAACTGGTCTCGAACTCGAAACAATCCTCCTGCCTCAGCCTCCCGAGTGCTGGGATTATAGCCATGCGCCACCATGCCCTTCAGGTGATTTTGTTTTTCCTCCCATTCATTATGTAACTATTCCAGCGTTCCTTGTCCAATATAAATACAATGCTAGGAAGTTTTTTAGTAACTACGTTATAAACTACATTATAACAAGTAGAAAGCAGATGAAATTAAAAGTTTTTTAGTAGCTACATTATAAAAAGAAAGCAGATGAAATTAACTTTAGTAGTGCATTTTATTTAACCCAATATGTCCAAGTACTATCATTTTATTTAATTTATTTATTTATTTTTTTGGTACCGGGAATCAAACTCAGGACCTTGCGCTTGCCAGGCAGGCGCTTGTGCCACTGAGCTGTATCCCTGTAAGTACTATCATTTTAAATGATATAAAATCTAAGATACTTTACATTTTTATAGTAAGTCTTGAAAATCCAGTATATATTTTACACATATACTCAATTTAGTTGCTTTATTTTATTGTATTTAGAGTTTCTAAAATTTATAGTTGAAAAGACTCACATACTTTAGGGGTTTTTTTTGTTTTGTTTTGTTTTGTGCTATTTGCGCTTTTTCTTTTTTTTTACTTTTTTTTTTTTTTTTTTTGGAGGCAGGATCTAACTTTGTGGTTCTGTAACAGAAAATACCCCCCAGCCAGTATACTTCAGTTGCCCCGGTGACAGTTCCTGTTCCAGTTCCCTTGCCTCTGTCTCTTAGAAATGGCTGGTCACTGTGATGCATAGCTGGTCACTATGATGCATATTGTAAGAACCAATCAAAAACAGCCAAGTTCTCTACCTCTGTACCTCCTCCCTTGCTACCCCATAAAACCCCCCTCCCTGGGCCTTCCTGATATTCTGGGAATGATCCCGATTGGTGCCTGTTGACATAAATAAATCTGCCTCCAAATCCTGAGCATCCTTTCAGTGTTTCTGCTTGCTGTTTCAGTTCAGGCTGGTCCTGAGCTCACTGTCCGCTCCAGGCTGGCTTTGAACTCCCAGCAATCCTCCTGCCTCAGCTTCCCCAGTGCTGGGATTATAGGCATGTGCCACCACGCCCAGCTCACCTACTTTAGTTTTCCACAACTCAATTTAAAAAAAAAAATTTATTTTTGGTGTTACGAATCGAACTCAGATCCTTGCACTTGCCAGGCAGGCACTTGTGTCACTGAGCTATATCCCCGGCTCCGAAAAAAATTTTTAAATTCAGTTCTTCAGTTTAATGAGGCATATTTCATATGCTCAACAATCACATGTTCTTAGTGAATACTGTATTGGACGGTACAGCACATTTCTAAGAAATATTGTTTAATACATTTTAAAGTTTATAAGGTGAGCATCAAAAGTGTGTGTAGTAGTGACTGTTATTGTCCATGCTGAAAAATCTCCTTGGTATCAAAAACATCCTACCAAGATGTTCGGTCTTTCAGTTACTGGCAATTAAAGGTGTCATAACTGATATGGCAGAACTGTATGACTGAATAATAGGGGAACTCAATTTAGATTGGGATGGGGCTGAGGATTTAGCTCAGAGGCACAGCACCTGCCTGGCAAGCACAGGGTAGTGAGTTCGATTCCCAGTACCAAAAAAAAAAAAAAAAAAAAAATTAGACTGGGATTTGGAGGAAGCAACTTTAAAACTGCAACTAGGAAAATTGCTTAAGATTGGATCAGATAAAGGAAATGAGGAAGTAGCAATCAGACAGAGAGGACAGCATGCTGAAGAGCTTTGTGAACTAGGAGTCCACATGAACATAGAAGTGAGGGGAAGAGGGCCAGGGGTATAACTTAGTGGCATAAGCACCTGCCTGGCAAGCGCAAGGTCCTGAGTTCGATTCCCAGTACCAAAAAAAAAAATTAAAAAAGGAAGAAAGAAAGAAAGAAAGAAAGAAAGGAAGAAAGAAAGAAAGAAAGAAATGAGGGAAAGAGCAGCATGAGCTCGAGTTGGAGCCAAGAAGTATTCCAGTAATGCCAGGCTTTATGAGTAAAGCAAAACTGACATCTTGTTCTGCTTCCAACATGGGTAAGCACAGGTGCTACACCCTACAGTTAGGAAACCCCAAATGCTGTGGTCTGAAATAACGCATAAAACACAGTGTTTCACTGTTGTCTCCAAAGTAAGTGAGATAGTCATTATTTCCCATGTTACTGACTCTCTAACTAAAACAGTTTCATTGCTGACTTGTAAAATGTGTAAGTCTGAATATGGAATAATTTGGGAGCATGTGGCCATCGTCTGAGAAAATTGCTCCTTTTCAAACACTATAAGCCAGCTATAAACCTTATAAGCTTGGTGTGTGTGTGCATTTGATGAACCAGTCCTCCAAAGTCTCGAACTCATGGTAATCCTCCTGCCTCAGTCTCCCAAGTGCTGGGGTTACAGGCGTGCACCACACCCAGCTGAGAATTTCTTTTGACATAGGAGATGATAAAGATTTAGAGTCTTAAATGTGAATGTAGCCGTGAGAGAGAGGGAATGAGAAAGGTTAGACTTAGAGATTTTCAAAGATTGTTCTTACTGTGTTGTATAAAACGGAAAGCGTCTGGGAGAATGTGATCAGATTGCTTAGAAACTACTACCCCAGAGGCATGATAAGGAGCTAGGGGTAGGTTTAAAGTAGTGGAAAGAGAAAGCAGCAAACAGTGTAAAATTATTGCTGGGCCGGGTGTCCTCAAATTCAAGGCCAGCCTGTGCTATAAAGTGAGTTCCAAGCCAGCCTGAACTGCACAGCAAAACCCTGTCTCAAAAAGAAAGAAAAAATTATTGCTATCTATCTCTCTATTCATCAATCGATCGATTTGTTGATTGATTATCAGTATCTACTTACTTTGCCTTGCCAATATTTTGGATAGTGAGGGCAAAAAAAGATAGTGTCAAGGACTTCTGGCATCTGGCCTGAGCAACTGGGTGAATGATGTGCTATTTCCAAAGACAGGAAAGAGGAGGGGAGGAGCACATTCGGGTGAGCATGGATTACTAGTTGAGTTTCAGATGTGCTGTTCACCGTGTCTCTGAGACAGCCAAGTGCAGACATTCGATCAGAGCTGGAGGTCGAAAGACAGCTTTTGAGCTGGCGAAGTAAATCTGACAGCCACTGGCAGGAAAAGATGTAAAACTATGAGATTAGATGATATCTCATAGACAGAGAGAGTGGAGAGTGACAAGGCAAGGGCCCAGGACCGAGCTCTAGTCTGCGAGGAGTCAGAGAGGACCGGATGGCAGGGAATCATCTGTCATGATCCTGGCAGTTGGAACAAACTACCACTCCTGACAAAGAGCTGTCGTCAGCCTTTTGCTTTTCCCTACCTGCAGCAGACCCTGATTAAGTTAGCTGTAATTATTTTGTAGCTGTCAATCCTGTTTTCCAGTGGGTTTAATTTTATTTCAATTGGCATGGCTATGCAATGTTTAGTTGCAAAATGGCATGCCCTTTTGGGGCCTGACTGCATCAGGTCAAGGTAAAATAATTAGTGTATTTGGTCAGTATGGTTTTTTTTTTCTTGTTGTTTTTTTGAGACAGGGTTTCACTATGTAGTCCAGGCTGGCCTTGAACTCGTGACCATTCTCCTGCCTCAGCCTCCTGAGTGCTGGGATTACAGGCATGTGCCAACATGTCCTGCCCAGTATGCGTTGTTTTTTTTTTTTTTTTTTTTTGAGTACAAATAGATTGTGATTGTTTTTTGTTTTCTCTTGTTGGTTGCAGTGTTTATAAATACTGTACATACAGTTAGCCAGTCTGAGGAGTAAGTTATCTTACATGTTGGCAAACTATGATAATTATTTAGAAGGTATAAAGAGTATTTGACCTTACAGAATACATGAGATCTTCAATGGAGCAGCTTTTAAGTAGCAGGACACAAATGGAAGTGTTTTTAAGAAATTTGTATAAATTACTAAAGGACTAGGAAGCTATAATTAGTTTGCTGGGGTTGACATACCGAACTACCACAGACTGGGTGACCTGGACAACAGAAATTGATTTTCTCACAATTCTGGAGGAAATCTGGTCAAGGTGTTGCCAGAGTTGGTTTTTTTCTGAGATTTCTTTTCTTGATGAGTGTATGGCTGCCTTTTTCATGTATACTCACATGACTCTCCCTGTATTTGTGTCTAAATTTCAATCACCTCTTCTTATTGGACATCAGTCATATTAGGT